GCACCCCCGCCCCCGCCGGCTGTTGGTCCCGCCCCCGGCCCCGCACCAGCAGCTACCCCGGTCCCACGAGTGGTGGGTGTGGCCCCGGGGGGGGTCCGGGGTGGGGCAAAAAAACCCATTTTTGGGGTTTAGCCCATGTGATGCGCGCTCTCGCTGCGCACCCCCCACTATTTTTTTTATTTTATTTTTTTTGGGGGGGGGTCTGGAGCCGGGGTCGGGGGTGCCCACCCCCGGACCCCCGCCGGGGCCCCGGGGCCGGGGCTCGACAACCCTGGTAGCCACGCCATTGGATTTTTTCAGTGAGGTGGAACTACAAGAAATTGCGAAGAGAAGGAGAAAAATCGAGACCTTCGGCCTGGGGGTTAGAAAGAATGCCGAGGGACAGGGAGGACAAGGGGCCGAGCAAGTCGAGGCACAATGCAGCAATAGGAATAAAATGTTGATTAAGTGTTAAACATGAATCCTGCTTGCCATTTGCAAAACATTGGACCAAAATGTGTATAGTATGAGTGAGCTTCTTAAAGATGAGGGACGGGAGGGCCAGCTAAGACTATGTCACGATAAGTTAGAAGATAGCGTTGAGGCTCCTTTCTGGATGAGCTACATTCGAAAGAGGGTATACAAGACGATGGCTTGGGGCATGGGATGAGAACGGTTGGGAAGGGTGTATTGTAAATTTGGATGGAATGAGGATTGTGCTTTTGAGAAAAGAAACTTTGAGTACAGATTGACGAGCAAAGCAAGACATCGAAAGTTGGTCAAGTACAAGACATGTTAGGGAACCTATGGGTCAACGGTCGTGAAGAACACTCCTTCCCTAGGAGCCTAATCCAACCGAGTCATGAATGAGTCTGAGAATAGCCGAGATCTGAGTCATCGGAACGAGTGAAAATAAGATAGGGCGCCCCTGTCTTTTGCTATGGTTGAACGGGCGGGTGGGCTAGTGCTACTTGGGGTCGCGAGCCCCAACTCGAGTACTAGACGCTAAGTCGGATGTATGCATGAAAAGTACATTGCTGTAAGAAATTGACAAAGGGAACAACACGCAGAAAACCGAGATGAGATGACCACCTCCTAACTTCCTAGACAAAAATGAGATCCGTGTCCTCGAGGCACACCCCCTCGGGCACTAACATTGAGAATGAAAAGGAATGACCCTAATCACACTGTTCGGCTTGAGAATGGAAAGGAATGACCCTACCCAGGCTGTTCGACTTGATAATGGAAAGGAATCGCCCTAAGCAGGTTCTTCGACTTGAGAATGGAAAGGAATGGCCCTAACCAGGCTGTTCGACTTGAGAATGGAAAAGAACGACCCTAACCAGGTTGTTCGGGAATGGCCCCTTACAAGGGTCATTCCTTTTGAAATAGGCACTGGGGTCCCCTGCATAATTGATTGAGAAAGGTTGATTGAGAAAGGACGATTGAGAATGAGCTGAAATGAGCAATGAGAGATGAAAAAGGTCGGTGGGTCGGTCATTGAAATAGTCAATGGGATGGATGAAAGAGATGGAAAAGGTCAATGGGTCGATCATTGAAATAGCCAAGAGGATGAATGAAAGAGAATGAGAAGGGCATGATAAAGAAGGTCGAGTCTTAAAGTCAAGAAGGGCAAGGACCGTTGGGACGGTCACAAGGATTGGGTATTGAGGAATGACAGAGTTGAGGATTGAATGGGCCGAAGGGTCGTTCTTAAGAAATGACTATTGAAAGAACGACCACCAGATCGATCATGTGGGTGGCATTGCTGATGAGAGGTTGCCGGACCAGCCATGAGAATCAGCCTTGGAAATAACATGGGATTGAGTGTTTGAGAATTGGATATTGCATTGCATAGTCAGGGGACCCTAGGCAACTTGATGTAAGGTCGTCGGGCTGATCATGAAAATAGCAAGAGATTGAGCTTTCTTTTTTTTCTAGTCTCGGGTCTCAATATAAGGGGGATAGCAATGTCTGCATCGCGACCCCAAGACCTCTATCCGTTAAGGAAAAAGTCTCAGCGCGACCTGCTCCTCATAAGAAGGAATAATGATTGAAGGACCAAAGCACCTTTCTCTTTGATTGATGCTGGCCGTCTGGAACTAACCCCGACAACGAGCTCTAGTCGGGGAGTTCAAACAGTGCCTCGTGTTGAAAACCTAAACGTCAAGGGCGTGGAGCCAAACGGGCGAGAGCGCCATTATTTTTCCTAAGTCTCATTTTTTCTCCCCAACCACACGCCATGCCGTAGAGGGGCGGCACGACCGTTTGGAACGGACCACGGCTACTTGCATTAAGTTGAGCAACACTGTCCAGAGGGAGGAATCGGGCGTGACCACAGGGCGAGTGACACCGCCCTGCCGGATCATTACAACCGTTCTGGGACTAACCACAAGGTCTTCGTAACTGCACTCGCAAACTAATTGAGAGTCCCAACTCTCTTGAAAGGAAGAGACCGGATCCAAGAAAACATCACTCGGGAGGAACGATTCGCGAGAAAGCCCTTACGGCAAGACGGGGTCCTGGGAGGCTTTGGACTGGACCTACCTGCCATGTGTGAGGAGGTATCTCAGTGATGTCGTTCGTCTCGTAAGCGGCAAAAGGTCGGACGGAGTAGGGGATGAGGTGAGTTATCAGCAGGGGGGGGACTCATCATCCTTCATTTTTGGGGCTGATCGACCGACATCCGTCTACTCAGTTGGTGGGCCAAGGTCTGCGTACCTCCGAGTGATAACTAGTCGTGCGATGGGGACATCGCATTTTGAGTGGGGGGAAGGTGTGTCAAATGCGTGCAAAAGAGAAAGTTACCATGAGCTCAAGAAATGGATGAGTAATTGACTTTGCGCAGGCTTGAGATTAGGCCTGGCAAGATGTCCAGAAGAAAGAAATGGATGAGTAATTGACTTTGCGCAGGCTTGAGAAAAGGTCTGGCAAAATGTCCAGAAGAAATAAATGAATCAGTAATTGGCTTTGCGCATGCTTAAAAAAAGGTCTGGCAAGATGTCCAGAAGAAAGAAATGGATGCGTAATTGACTTTGTGCAGGCTTGAGAAAAGGCATGGCAAGATGTCCAGAAGAAATAAATTGATGAGTAGTTGACTTTGCGCAGGTTTGAGAAAAGGTCTGGCATGATGTCCAGAAGAAAGAAATGCATGAGTAATTGACTTTGCGCAGGCTTGGGAAAAGGCCTGACAAAATGTCC